GGGGGGCGGGGGGGATACCATGGGGTGGGGGGGGGAAGGGCGGGTGTGGCAGCCCTGCATCATATATAATAGTAGATTCGCGCGATTCAGGTGCTGTCCACATAGCTCTGCGATGGCTAGTGGTGCTGCACATGCCAGGTGACTGAATTGCTTGCAGATGTTGGTCGAGACAGTGGCCTGATTGTGGCCATTTTCTTCAGCTATGCCTCTCGGCTGCGAGCTGCGTACCACGTCCGCAGGGCCAGGTGGAAGGACAACGGAGATAAAGACCGTGCTTTGCCGAATGCAAGGGCCGAGAAGCAGGCAAGCGGTCCATTCCCCAGGCCTCCCGTGGCCTCCTGAACCTCGGGGAATTCCCCGAAATGCCGTCGGGGTGAGCGAAATCACCGTTGTGGAATTAAGCGCAAGATCGAGCATCTTTACCTCCGACTGCAGAATCGTTTTGCAGAGACACGTTGGCTCTTGCAGACCGTGGGTTTTTGACGCCCGAATGTTGCAGCTTTATGTCCAAGGTGTTGATCGCAGCCGACACCCTGACATGTTTGATGCGAGGGGATGCTGTACACCGTACACACACCTTGCCTGTGATTGATTGTAGGATAGTGTCATCATGCGTGTCATTTCAGGTCACTGTGATGAACCTTCTTATCGGAGTGCTTTGCGAGGCAGATCCGGCTTTCAAATGGCGGTCGTTTGGTGTTCCGCTATATGACGTATCGGGGGGTGTTGTCACATAGAGACTGTCCTGCGGCTCTTCTGAGGTTGGAGCTTCAGCAGTGAAAGCCCAGTCTGTGATGAAATCTAGAAGACATGGTTCGTTGTGTTGACAAAGCACGTGACCTCTGGGCACAAGTTTTGTCTTCTCCAAACACCTCGGACAGGTCGTGACACTCGTTGCGGCTGCTGAACGCGAAGAGCTGCTTATTGGTTTCGTTCAGGTCCGTTCTGCTGAAGCCAGACTGGTAGCTGAGCGCCATCATCACCATCACCATCATCGTCATCATCATCATCATCATCATCATGATCATCATCATGATCATCACTATCGTCATCATCACCATGATCATCACCATGATCATCACCATCATCATCACCGTCATCATCACCGTCACCATCATCATCATCGTCGGCCATCATGATCGCTGCCATCTTCACTATCGTCAGCATCATCATCATCGTCATCATCATCATCATCACCATCACCATCGTCATCATTATCGCCATCATCAGCATCAGCGGCAATATCATAGGTTTGTTATCACTATCATCTTAACCACCAGCATCATCAGCATCATCAGCATCATCAGCATCACCAGCATCACAATCATCATCATCATCATCATCACCATCATCATCAGCAGCATCAGCACCAGCATCAGTATCATCAGCATCATCAGCATCATCAGCATGATCATGATGATGATGATGTTGATGATGATGTTGATGTTGATGCTGATGTTGCTGATTATGATGCTGCTGCTGCTGATGATGATGATGAGAATCATCATCATCATTATCACAGTCGCTGATGTCGTACTTCCCTCCAATGCCGCCTCCTCCTCCTCCTCCTCCTCCTGCTCCTCCTCCTCTTCGTCCTCCTTATCATGATGCTTTCGGTTGTTTTGGCTGCGGCTGCTACGTTTGTCGGCTGCAAGCTTGTATCTATTGTGTTTTCGAAAGAAAAAGCAGGACAAGGCAATGCTAAGTTGCCTCATCTACCTTTCCTGTGTCTGTCGCCACATATACCCCGCATCATCTGCTTCCTCACTTGCCGGCCGCTCTTCCTTGACCCTGTATCTCTTCTTTTGCTGTTTCTGTCTTCTGCTGATGCTGCCCTTCGAATATCGTTTCTTCGTCCTGTCTGCTTTCTCTCCATGGCCTTCGATTCGATTGCTAGTGCCCGCGTCGTGTTTGCAGTATAGCCACTTTCACAAGCTTGCTTGCCGTCACCTTTGTTTCTCGATGGCTTGCAGCCTCGTCGTCCTTTCGCTGCGGTGAATATTCTTCCCAGCATTGGCAAAGATTGCTGGTGTGAACGGCAGGGCCAGCTTGAGAAGATCGTGGCATCAGTGGATTTGGATGGCAATGGTGGCTCTGAAGCACTGCTCCGATAAGCACACAGCTGCGGTTTTCTCGGCTGGCGAGGATTGATCTCGCACAAGGAGATGAAAGCCATTCTACAGGACAAGGATGCGGTAAGGGCACTCCATTCGGCAGGGCTCTCTGCTGCAGTGAGTGTAGATTGCCCCGCTCTCACTGTCTTCGTGCAAGGTAGGGGTGGATCCCGTAAGCCTGGTCGACCTGGCCGACGTTTTGTTTCCGACCAAAGTAGCAGGCAAGGGGTCCCTCATGTCGCATCAGACAGTCGACTGTGCTGACAGAAGATGGTGATGAGTTTCGGGGCGAGATGACCTTCATCCAGTTTATGCAAGAGCTGTGGCCCGACGGCAGAAATCCTTGATGGGCTCCAAGGAGTAGTATTTCTCAGTTGCGGTTCTGGAGGTTGAGAGTCTTCACTGCGAGGTTGTGTGTAGACTGTAGACCGAGCTCCAAATAGGTTGGACTCCTCTTCTCTCTTCTAGTGCCAGGCTTGCGACACTTGTTGCAAAGCTTTTGATGGCCTAGAAGCGCAAACTTCAAGCGTCAAGCGGCAACCCAGCCACCCGCGACCACAGTGCTGTACAGCGACTCTGCAGAACTTGTCCAGTCCAAGCCGGATTGGCATTTTTTGAACCATTAAGTTGGAGAGCGTGAGCGTGGTTTCCTGTGGTACTCTGCAGGCACGATTCAAGGATCCCAGAGCCCAGAAGAATCACAGATCCTCCACGGCTTCTGGCACTTCCCGGAAGAGACCATGGTCATGCGCTGGGCCGGAAGCCACACAATTCCACACACCCTCAAACACCTCCAATTCGCAATTCACATTTCATGGATGTGCGCTCAAACACCACGAAAGCTCGGCTGGCAACGTCTTGAAGTACCCCTCGGATCCCGACAGCGTGGCAACATGGCATAGCTGCATAACAGAAACTGAACTGGCCTTTCAAGGTTCCTTTACAGGGTCTGGACTCCGGACTTGCATGTTCGTCTCGAGTTGCATGTTAGCCTTGAGTTTGTGGGCTCGGGCTGTGTCTTGATGATCGAGCACAATCCGGGGCCTGAGCCGTTGAGTCCCGTTCCGCAGCTCGGGGGATCCAGCTGCAGCGTCGGGACGGCTTCCTTCAGAGCTTGTCTTCTCAACATGGCCGCAGGTGTGGCTAGTTCGCCGCAGGGGAGCTTCGGGCAAGAAGACGATGCTTGGAAGTGTCCCTCCTTGGAACCCACACTGCGAAAGCCTCCTTCGGCTGTGGGTATGAGATCGGGACCAGATTCAAAAAGTAACATCCTTTGATGAGGAATACTGCGAGTGCGCGTAGCCGGCGACTTTCCAATCTCGGGCCTCATGGCCGCTGGCCATGCTTGGCCATCCTCTTGCCTCTACTACTCGTAGCCTCAGTGAATCCAACGTGCAAACCAAAGGCCCTGTACAAGCTTTGCATGTTGCCGGAAGCCAACGCTTCGAAGTTTCATTCAAGCCTTGGGGCTCTGAATTCATCAAAGTCGAGAATAAAAATATATGATATATGAATAAACGGAGGTGCCCTCCCCCGATGCTATGAATGATTACGTATGAGGTCTCGGAAACTGCCTCAAGGTCTCCTGCAAAAGTTTTTTTCCACCGGTGGAGTCTTGGTGGCCAAGATGCTGTTGCAAAATGCCGCTCTTTTTCAGGCTGGAGCTTCGTGGGAAGAACACAGCGACGGTGCCCGCCTGTGTTGCTGCACATATCGCTGGAAGCATTTGCTGAGAAGAGGTGAAGGACATGATAACGCTCCGCAAGATCATGAAGGTTCAGCAGGAGGACCTCCTGGAAGCCATTGGAAAGCCCCGTCCCTAAAACGCTATGCGCGTTGGCGCTGTGGAGCTGCATGTGAGAAATGCCTGCCAAGGTTGGAGTCTTCAGCTACTTTGTTGAAGTGAGCTACCGTCGTGAGCAACAAGCTCGTGTGTAATGACTTTGCTGTGAACTGCTTCTTTTTGAAACTTGGGGTGCCTGCTTGATGGAGTCATGGGTCATATCAGTCTCGAAAACAAGAGCCCTAATTCTCAGCAACATGCGCATCTTGAGGTTCTCGGCTCAGCCGATGAGCTGCAACAGACCGCACAGCGAAAGCAGGCAACGCCACGTTGTTGATATGCCACAGACCCCAAGTGGAGAGTTGCCATGAGTTGCCTTCAGGGCAGTCGGAGGAATCTGGAGCCAGCAGCTTGGTCTACCCGAATGCGGATGCTCGGAAGGGAGCTTGTGTGGGTTACAACCGTGTTCGTATGCAATACTGAGCAGCAGCAGTTGTCTCCCAGGTCCCCAGAAAGAGAGCAGCTGAGCCCTACTCTCTCGCTCCTTTCCTGCATGCTTATGCGAGACAGTAAGTGCCTTTGCATGGCATCGCCCATGGCCTCCCTTTCTGCTTCGCCGATGTCGGTATTTCTTGATCACAGCTCTCAGGCAGCAGCCGAGAGTACTGGAGGGGCAGCTGATCGATGAAGAGCTTTCGCAGCTTGACAAGACAACCTGTGTGTTGCCTTCATTGCAGTGGAGAGGTAAGTGCATTGCTTGCCTCGCCTAGCCTGGAAAGTCACAAGTGCAGGCAGAAAATGCTCGAGTTGCATGGCCCTTACACAAGCTTGCGGGCACAGTTGGCAGGTGTTTTCTGTGATGTCTTGTCACATCCTGGTCTGTTCTAGCACGACGCGTGCAGGAGATGGCCAGTTTTGCAGAGAGTCGTCCAGCAGATGTGTCGTGGGCAGTTGGGATCTTCTTCGGGCGTGGTCGTCTTTTAGTCTAGGTCCCTGTCACAACCCACGATGTGGCGCAGAAAAAACAGCAGCTGGTTGAAGATGATGTAGCCGTCTTCGGCCGCATATTTAAACTCGTAGATGACTTTCCCAGTTTCACTGCAGCTGCATTTCTACAGATTCTACTGCATCAGTGCTTTCGAATGATGGCAGCCGATTTTATATTATCGAGGCGCCAAATATTGGATGCGACTCTATCTTCGGTGATCCTCAATGGCAGGACAGTGTCCTGGAAAGACTTTACAACGTTGACTGGTAAGAATTTGTAGAAATACTGGGGTCGTAATCAGGCTTTGATTTGTGCCTGCTGAAATTGTGCCGGTGATTACACGATGACAATTGACCAGCATTTTGGTGTTTTTCTGCACTTCTTCCAGGAGCATCGACAAGCCAATCGAATCCAGAGATCCAGCAGCTCCGACGGAACTTGCAGTGAAGAATTTGAAGTGTAAGTGGTCTGCGTCCATGACTTCGGTTGTTCTGCAGTGCACAGGCTGCGGGGGCTCTCCGGGCTACCGCTGCGGAGGCAGTGTGCCAGTTTTGACAGTGGCTTCGAGAGGTCAAACTGAGTAACACTGCTGTGCTGGTACAAATTGCTCAGGAGTCCATGCGCAAGCCCGGGAAGCACGAAGATCTCTTCCTGGAAGATGTGCCTGGCATGCAGGAGCCTGGAACAAGTAAAACAGACCAATGTCCACAGGGCACTTTTGTTCTGCCCTGCATTTGTCACCCTTCCTTTCCACCCTCAAATTTGAAGATCTGGTTTTTGAGTTCCTCCGCATCCGCAGATTGTCTCTACACGAGCCTGATCCGCGTCCTTGCTTCAGCGTCGCAAGCTTGTTTCCGCTTCGCTGGTGGCCAGCCCTCACTCAAAGGCCATCCTTTGAGGATCGCTGAGTTGAATCTCCTTGAGTGCTATCGTCGACGCCATCGTACGCCATCGAACTCAAGAAACGACAGCACAAGGATTCTTCCCATATGTCCCTGTGAAGTCGTGCAGGCTCCTGACGTACAGATATCAGATATCGTTCTTCGCATGTGCTCCTTTGTGCCAGTTTTCCAGCTGCAGGAGGAGGCAATGAGGACAACGAGCAAGCACCGCACGTATTTGCTTTGATAAATCTTGCTCCCGAGAAAGATCAAGAGCGATCACTCGGTGCACGAAACCCTGCAACGACCCTCTTGAACAACATGGGTCGGCATTTCTCGTGCCTGCATCAGCAGTTGGCTTCCTGGAGGGTTCACAAATGAAAATATGTGTCAACCATTGATGTTCGGCTTGTCTTCTAGCATTCCGGCAGATTTTTGTGAAGGCAGCTGAAGTGAGCAAGCCACGTGCAAGATCGTCCAAGGAACTATTGCTATATGACGCGGATTCCTGCGCCTTCCCGGAACTGTGCCCACCGGCCAACAGACTTGTGACTACATGGAGTACACCCGGTGGTGAGACCCGACAAATCTGGATTCCAAACTCAGAGAGTTCCACCATGTCCACACAGAAGGCACGACGTCTGATGTTTCGCGGCTCCTTCCTGGCGAGCCTCATCATTTCCAACCCTATCATCGGCACGAACCCCCATCATCATTTCGAACCCTACAATGTACTCTGCAACCCGAATACAAAAGCTTTCACCTTGCCGTGGTGCCATATGGCACGTGGCATATGCCAGTGTTGCAAGCAATCAGATCAAGGACCACCAAGAGACCACCACGACGCCAAAAGCCGAAGTACTGCCGCATTTCGGGACCACGAAACTTATGCTTCTCCTCCTTACATGGCGGTCGTTTCCTCCAAGTATTGCTGCGAAGCAAGGTTTTCCACAGCCAAGCGTGGTCCGTGTAGAGGAGATACAAAGGATCGGGCGGATCAGATTTGCAGCACAAGCTGTAAATAATAGGACGCAGGCAGCAGTTTTTTCCGCGCCCGCCGCGCGACCATACCTCAATCAATTCGCTTCCCTAAAAGCAGGAACCCCATAGTAGTGAAACGCGAGGTCCATGCCCGCATCAGTTAAAGCACAGACGGCATCGCTAGAGGAGCTGCATGGAAGTCACAATGACATCGCCCACAAACGCAGCGAAAAGGAATGTCACGGCCGCAGTTTTCCCGCTACTTGTAATCACCATGTCGCAAACGGTATGCCAAGTCCGATCGTGTCGCTGAATTAGACTTTCAATGCCAATTTGTCGAAGTGCGGCAACTGCACACATAAATGCCGGTTCAGGCTGGTAGTGCTCAAACGGTTTTTCCACGAACCTGGTCGGGTGCGCCTGCGCTACAACGATTGGGTCTTGTTTTTTCACAAGATTGTCTCAGAGAGCAATATTGTCAACCCATGTCAACCCAATGTATGTTGAATAGAACTGGGTAGCATTCGGGCAGCATGTTTGTCGCATCCTGCAGTGGTTAAGTGGACACGCAGGCGTTCTTCTGTTTAA